GACAGCAGACCAGACAAGTGTGACTGGATGTCACCAGACCCATTTTACTGGAAGTAAAGGGGGGTTCTGGGAGGCGAAGGGATTCGCCCGAGGTTATACAGCTGGTAATTGACGGAGCAAGAACCCACATGCCCTTGTGCTTCCACATCCATGCTCTGCCTCAAATTCTTTGTGAGAAAGAGGCAAATGTTTATCTTACTTTTGTGAAAAGAGGCAAATATCTCTCCTCTGATCAGACAAGTGGGCACGTCTCTCCTCTCTCTGTAGCGGCCACCAAACCCCCGTTTGCTTCTAATGCTCCCCTTTTCGGGGGCTTGTCTGGCCACCTCATTCCCTAGGGAGGTGAGACGATTGGGATCATCACCGTGTTTTCATCAGTGACCCATAAGGGAATGGGTCTTTCTCCACCTGAAAAGAAGGAGATTCCAGTGTGAGAGGAAGCAGCACCGCTTGCAGAGTGGAGCAGACCTGCTCCTTCCTGCCGCGTCTGCCCACAGGGCACAGGCGAGGGGTCTTCGGAAGACACGTCACACTGGGTGACCAGGAAGGGTCACCCCGAAGAGTGTACAGACCTCGGCAGGGTTTCCCTGGGCAGAGTAGGGATACCACTGGCGAGGGCCACGCCGCAAGGATGATTTTAGGTGGTCCGCGGGAAAACTTTAAAAATGTTCTAATACTTGGGTATTTTATCTTACTGTATCTTAAAGAAAGTGCAGCTCATTAAATCTGTAATTGTATAGGTACTTCTGATATAAAGTTCCTGGCAAATTCATTTATTTGAGGGGAAAAGGAGTCCATTTAAAGTAGAATGTGAAGGCGATCACAGTACAAGAGGAACTTGGACGTGGCCAACGTGGTGGTGATGGCCGGGGTGCGCCCTGAGGTGCAGTGGGAGGGCGGACGGTGCTTGGTGAGAAGGTGGAGATGGAAGGGAAGGTTTTCACGCAAACATTCTTGTCAGCAGCTGTCTCTCAATAATAAAGAATTACTGTTGCTGAGGAGAAAGCCATTGTCCTGGAAGAAGGGCCAGGAATGAGAACAGCACAGCCTCCGGCTTCCTGGGCCTGCGGTGAGGTCCGGCGGAGGGAAGAACTAGCCGCTTCGCCAGCCCCAACAGGCCGTGTGAGACCCCACTCAGCCCAACGCCTGCGCCCTGCTGCAGGCACGTTGCAAGAACTGTGCTCCTCCGAGTCCGGTGTCCAAGGACAGGTCCCAGGGGAGGCCCCAGAGCCTGGTCCCAGCCGGGCAAGGACAGGATTTCCTCAGTCTCACAGCTCCTGCCTGGAGCCTGGATGGACTACACTCATAGTGGTTACTGCCTAAAAGGACATATCCATATATGTGGGGCCAACCCATGTATATTCAGTTCACATCTTTATTTGTGCATAAAGGCCCGGTGCCTGAAAATTCACACACTTGGGGGTAGAGTGTGTGTGTGGGGAGTCCCTTAGCCTAGCCTGCACCCTCTCCCACTCCAGGGTGCATCGGGGGATGTCCAGCTAATAGCTTAGGCCCACTCCCTGGAGGACTGGGCCTAAGCTGGCAGTCAGGAGCCCTGTGGGGAGCAGGCCTAAGCCATTAGGCAGGCATTCTTAGCATTGGCGTGGAGGTGGGAGAGGCTTCTGCCACCATTGCTGCGCTGGCCAGCCATGAGCAGGCTTCTGACTGAGTGGTGCTCCCCTTGTGGGAGTGCACTGACCACCAGGGGGCAGTTCCTGTGTTGAGCATCTGCCTCATGGTGGTCAGTGCGTGTCATAGTGACCAGTCCTTCCCAGTCATTAGGGTTAATTTGCATATTCTGCCATTAGGGTCAATTTGCATATTACTCTTTTATTATATGGGATGGGCTTCAGAGTTCCCTGGGGAATGGATGACCTGATGCCCTGGGATGAGAAAAGGATGTGTGTTCAGAGAGAATAAAAAGGGATTAGATCCAGTTTTTAGGAACAAGAGTGGCTATATTTAGAATGTCCCAGGAAGGGGGGAAGTATAGGCAGGTGATGTACAGAGGATTTTTAGGGCAAAAACAGAGCAAAAATACTCTGTTTCATACTACAATGGTGGATACATGCCATTCATTACATATTTGTCAAATCTGTAGAATGCACAAAATCAAGAGTGAACCCTAATGTGAGCTATGGACTATGGGCGGTTATAACATGTCAATGTGGATGCATCAGTAATAACAAAAAGTGCCAGTCTGACAGGGGATGTTGAAAACGATGGAGGCTATGGATACATGGCGGCAGTCTGAGGGCAGGGATAAAATGGGTTATCTCTATACCTTTCTCTTAATTTTGCTATGAGCCTAAAAGTGCTCTAAAAAAAAGTAAAGTCTGAGAGAATTTGTGAACACCAAAAATACAAGCAAATTCCCTTGGGAGGTAGGAAAGGGGAACTTCAGGAAGACCCAACCTGAGTGTTGATGTAACTGAAGAAGCTTAAACTGTATTTTATGGCTAAATAAAATATATATTCTAGCTAAAAAAAAAAAAGAATATGTCAGGAACTGGTTATTATAGCTTCCGTGTGAAGTAGGGGACAAAATACCCAGACCCACAACTCGGCACTCTGATCAGTCCTGGAGGTAGATAACACGCACAACCACAAACACAATCCCATCAACCGCTAACACTAAATGAATACTTGCTGTGTGCCAATCACCATTTTAAAAGCATTTAATCTTCACAACAACCCTAGGAGGTAGACACTAGTATTATCCTCATTTTACACAAGAGGAAACTGAGGCACAGAGCCGTTACGCGATCCATTGCGAGCCACAGCCGGAGAGCGGGTATGGCGGTATCTGGCACTACAGCTACATGACACTGCCATTCAGGCCATCCAGATGGCACCCCTGCTCCAAGCCCATGCTCACCAAGTCCTCCTCAGAGACCATGCTGGTTGAGTCAGCAGAGCGAGGTCAGATCTCAGTTCTGTCACAGTTCAGTTTCTCCACTGTTTTATGCCCAGTCCCCCATCTGAAAAGTGGGAATAACAGCGGAGGGGGTGTGACCATGAAAAGAGGAGATACAAGGCACGGCATACATGGCAGGGGGGAAGTGAACCTCCACAGTTACAGATGGCCACTGACCAGCTTCACCTTCCTTCAGGTAACTCTGGGGAAACCTCCGAGTAACAATTGCTGTCTTTTACTGAGGGCTTCCCACGTACCATGCACGCTGCTAAGAGCTTTGAGTACATCCTCTTGCTCAGTTTTCATACATCCTGCCAGGCAGGTGTTACCATCCTAACTGAAAACATTTGAATTCTGGTTTATCCACTTGCTCCTTGTAAATTTAATCATTTCTCCAGAAACAAACTGTTTTCTGGGTACAAAGCCACACAGTGCCTTCTGGGCTGCAGAGCCGAGGCTCAGGCCGTGAAGGGCTGGCTGTGTGGGGGTGTCCTCGGGCCCCTCCCAGGCTCCAGCCGTCTGACACACGGGGCCACCTCTGCAGGCTGCCACAGGAAATGCCCGGGACGCCCTGAAGCTGCTAATCCCAGCATCAACATTGTGCTTTTCCTTGGAGGATTTCCTTTCCTTGAACAAAACTGGTATTGGCCGATATTACCACATCATCGCAGACTGCTAACACCGATGCCTGTTTGATGTGTGGCCTCCTAGACATTTTCATTTGTGCATATACATCCTCTTCCCAAAAACGAAAGTGGGGTCCCGTTTTATGAATTGTTCTTGCTTTTTCACCCAATAGACAATAGGAATCTTCCCAGGTCAGAGCATGCAGTTCTAAATCATTTTTTAAAAATGCTATGTATGCATTTTTTTTTTTTTTTAAACAACAACTGGTTAACGAAGACTGAACATTTTTCCTCTTTATATAACTGCATTTTGTAATTTTTCAACAATGAAGATACATTACTTAGGTAAAAAAAAAAAAAAAAAAGAGAGAGAGAGAGAAATCATAAGGCTTTTTTTTTTTAAAGTAGTATTGAAGAGATAACACTTTAAAAGTAAACATAGCTAGTTTCATGTTTCTTAATTATTTTCCACATACAAGAGCTAGAACAAATATTTTACCAAGCTACCGCCATGCTGAAATACCCCTTTATCACAGCGTCTGAGACACTTGTCCACGCGTCTACAGAGCTGCTTACAGCGTCTCTGAAGGACCGGCGGGCCCGGCCGCAGGGGAGGACGCTGGGCTCTTCCTCTGGGCAGCGTCAGAGAGAGCTCCGGGACAGAGCCCTTAGCAATCTGGTGAAACTGCTGGACCCCTTCTCACACTAATACTTTCAAACGTACAACATAAAATACAGAGGGCTACAAACAAAACTGACAACTTTGAAATACAATCATCAAGATGAAAATATGTAATATATGTACTTCTTGTACCTTAAGAAACAAGGTTAGTGGTGAGCTTAATTTCTATCATAATTTTAAAGTAGTGGTGGACACAGATACTTCTACAACTTAAGGATGTGATTTGAAAACATGTGTGATTTCCATGGGTGACAAGCCTCGGGCTCACTAATATGGCAGCAGTCAGTTGCACACATTTGTAATTGAAGGAAATGCTACATTTCGTGTTACGTTAGCAAAAACAAAGATCTCTGCCTCCCCCTCCCCCCCAAGTTCATAGATCTCCTGAATTCTATACAAGGGTAATGGGTTCTAGGTCAACAGATATCTACTCCACAGAAATTCTATACTTATTAGCCTGGGAAAGGTTTTCGTCTTTTCTATCCCTTCTACCCAAACTACCAACACCAACAGCCCCCATGACGATGAGATATTCAGGATTAATTTGGGGGTTTCTCTCATCTCTAGGCATCTGCCCGGCTCCCAACCACTTTCCCTCCCGGCCAGCCTCGACACATATGTAGAAAGAAGCTCATCTTGCCATCTTGCAGCTCAACCCAGTTCATACTTGCACTAGATTTAACATCACATCCCTCCTTCTTCCTTCCTGTTACGAAGTCGTCTAACAAGTCCAGTCAGTTCTGAACGAAGGAAGCTGGATAATCCGCCTGCTTACTGGAGGCTGCCTTATCCAAATAGATGTTTTTCATCACCAAAGGTATCTTCCAGGACTCTGCAAATCCAGAGGATCAGTCTCCTTCCTTCACACAAGCACCGGCGCTGGATTCATTTCTGAAATCACCGGCACCGACCAGGCTCTGGTTCTTGGCCGAGGTTTCAGAAATTATCTGCAATTGTACTCTCTTTTCCTTCCACCAATAATTATAATAGATTGCATTGTGTGGCACCTCATGCTTCTCAGAAGTAACGCTCCGGAGCCAGGATGTGGACCCAGAACTCCGGATTCCTAACCCCATGTTCGTTCACGATGTCATGATTCAATTAGTACTCTTCCATTCTAACAGAATCCCTTAAACATAGAAAACTTATGTCCCCTTTAACTAAATCACGCGCTCTCCTGTAACATTACTTGACATTTTAAAATTCTTAAAATATGGTGGCTAGAAACAAAGTAAAGCAATGAGAATTTTTTTAAATAACCTTTCTTTTTAAAATACTCCTCTTGTTTTGATTTTTTTTTAAAACAACATCTATTTAACATTCATCATCCACTCTCTTAGAGTGATCAAATCGTCCAGGTTTTGCCTGGGACTGTTTTTAAATGGAAAGTCCTGCAATCCACAAACCTCTTAGTCCCAGGAAACCCCTCAGTCTTGGACAAATCCTGTCCTGGGTAAACGGGAATAGTTGTCGTAGCAGATATCACTGTGACTTTGATGTAGATTGTTGGCCCTTTTTCTTAAAATCTCAGGTGAGGTGAAAGAGCACAGCACGTCACTGACATCGCCACACAGTGCTGCTCCACAGGGGTGTGGCTATCGCCCATCGGTACTACGCTAAATGGTCACACGTAGCCAGACAGAAAAGTCAAACCCAGCACTAATTTCTCTAAGTAATTTTAAAAATTAAAAACATTTAAATCCCCCAAAGTTGCAGAAACGGTTTGGCTCAGTGGATAAAGTGTTAGCCTGCAGCCCGAAAGGTCCCTGGTTTAATTTTGCTCAAGAGCATGTAGTACCTTGGTTGCGGGCACATCCCCAGTAGGGGGTGTGCAGGAGGCAGCTGATCGATGACTCTCATCGATGTTTCTAACTCTCTATCCCTCTCCCTTCCTCTCTGTGAAAAATCAATAAAATATATTTAAAAAAAAATAACCCCGCCAAACTTTAGGCTTCGTTGGTTGTAACATCCGGAACTAATTCACTCTAACTTAAGCAAAAAATAAATTTATTTTTAAATATATATATATTTTTTATTGATTTTTTTTACAGAGAGGAAGGGAGAGAGATAGAGAGCTAGAAACACTGATGAGAGACAAACATCGACCAGCTGCCTCCTGCACACCTCCTACCGGGGATATGCCCGCAATCAAGATGCATACCCTTTACAGGAATCGAATCTGGGACCTTTCAGTCCACAGACCAATGCTCTATCCACTGATCCAAACCGGTTTTGGCAAAAAAATGAATTTCTCAGAAGAAGGAGGAGTAACTCACAGAATCCAAGGAAACCCTGGAGACCCAGACTTTGGAATGGGAAGGAGCCAGGATCGCTCCTGGGATCTATGGAGCCGCATTCATGGCCAATCCCTTTAGACTGAAATTAGCAAACTTTTTCTTTTAAGGTCCTGATAGTAAACATTTTAGGCTTTATGGGAAAATCTTTCTCATAGCTACTCAATTTTGTCTTGAAAGCAGCCATAGACAATCCATGATTGTATCTATGTCCCAATAAACTTTATTTACAAAAATTGCTGGAGGGCCAGATTTGGTACATGGCCATAGTGTGTTGATTCTTACTTTAGGGTATATCCTTTGGCATGGGTCTGCTCTAACTAGTTTTAATATTCACACCATTGGCTCAAGATTTAGATTCAAAGGAGACAGCATCCTGTTGGCAGAACTTGGGTCACTTGTTAATTCTTTGGCCAGGGGAGGGAGGGGTGCCTGGACTGGCTAGACTTTATCCAATTATAAGGGGGCGGTTCCGCAAAGCAAAATTAAGTTCACCAAAAGAAAGGGGCATGGAAGCAGATGAGGCTGAAACAATAGATGTTTGATGCATCATCTTCTGATTTTCTTTTCTTGTCTTGTTAGTTTCTACTACTTTCCACTTTAGGGAAGGAGTAAAAAAAACGCAGGTGGTACTAGCATCAGATTACAGTATTTTTTCAACTGACACTTAAATCTCATTTCTCCCAGTTTGGTGATTAGAATGGAACCATAGAGAAAGTTAACTGAATGATAAAGACTATCATCAAATCTAACTCTTCATTTTATAGAGGGAGAAACAGAGGACCAGGGAGGCAGGGAGGCCTCCTGCATTGCCAGCTCCAAGGGAGCACATGCACATGCCTCTGTGAATGACACACACCCCCTAGAGTCGTACAGAGCTCTGGGAGAACTGTGTGGCTTGGGGCTGTTAGTTAATAAAAGGCCATTCCCGTCCCCTTCTCTTTCCCCCGCAGGCACGTATTCCCCCAGCCTCTAAGGGACTCCATGAATGAGACTTGCAACCAGGGGAGCAATGGGCAGTGGCAGCTTGTCTCAGGCTGACCCCTGAACCTGTCTCCAAGGCCCCCTCTGAGCCAAAGCAGCCCAGCCTAGGATGGGAACTGTTATACAGACATGAGCAGCGCCAAATCAATGGGCCAGGCACTGAGGCTCACAAGGGAAGGAAGTCCTGGATGCCTAGCAAGGGGCAAAACTGGGAAGATAAGAACCTCGCCTCCAGGGTAACCTCCCTCCCCCTAGCATAGCACCCTGGTCATGTGGTCTGAACCCATGATCTTTCCTCCCTAAAGATAACATTTAAGTCTCAGCTGTATTTCAGCTCTATGTACAGAGAAGCAGCAAAACTAGACAAGTGACCCTTGGCTGCCTGAGGAACAGCTACATTGACTAATGACCTCCGGTCCTGGCACCGACCAATCAGTGGAGACCGGGACCCTGAAAGAGCCCACCTGGAAAGCTGATGACTATTTTCCCCTGAGACCTCCCCTAAGGATTCCACCTGCAAGAGAGAGATACATATGTTCGGGACAAAGAACCCAGTGCGTGCTCTCCCTCCCAGGAGCCACTGCAGACACCCTTTCCTTCCCCCACAGGCACGTACCCCCCAACCTCTAAGAGGCCCCGCGAGACTTGCAACCAGGGGAGCAATGGGCAGGGGCAGCTCCGAACTTACTCCCTAAATTTGTCTCCAAAGCCCCCTTTGAGCCAAAGCAGCCCAGCCTAGGCTTTCCTGTGGCTTCTTTTATGCCTTTCCTCGTTTCATTGTTTTAAGTACATTGTTGCTGCCATCATGAACCCAATACCTTTTGGCTCAGTGCTGTGTAGCCCTTCCATTTGGATATCTCCATCCTCCACCCCCCTTTCCTTAAATGAATTCAAAAAAAATTTTTTTTTAAATTCACGGTCTGAGATGGCTATTTAGCCTGCCTGCACATCACCACTGACTTGAACCTTTTAAGAACTTTGTCTTTGTTTTCTGACTTTCAGTCCAGGCCTCTCTGTTGCACCATGAAATTAGGTCTAATAAAGCCCAAGGCTTGATTTCCCCAACACAAATAATCCTCTCTTCTCTCCTCCAGCCAGCCAGGACCCAGCCCTTTTGTGCTTTAGATTCAAAGTCTTCTGCACACCTTTGCAGAGTTGGCGCATCTTCAGCGGCAGGATTTGAGGAATACCTACTATACCACCCGCCTTGTGATGTATTTTGCCCTAGTCTATTACAGAGCTGAAGTTAGCGTGACCAGTGAGTGAGGAAGACAACTGCTCTTTTACAGTCTGGCAGCTCAGTCCCAGGAAGAGCGCTGTTTCTTTATTCAATGTCCTGGAGTCCTTCTGCCTCCGTTGTCGCCTGGCCCTATTTTGACCCCCCCCCCCCCCCATCTTTTCTCCCCACACTTTCTCCTTCTTGGAGGTGGGGGTGCTCTTTGATCTTGGTTCAGGTGAAAACCAGAGGAAATCCTAGATTAAGCTCTGATGGCCAAAGAATGTCTACCAGCTTCGGGGCAGGGCAGTCAGAATAAGATAAGAGCATGGGTTTTATGTTTATGGGGGGAAAACATGCCCTTTGTGATACTTCTGTAAAAGTTGAGCTAATCAACAGAGTGGTTTTGATAGGAGGGAAATACCACGTTGCACATGGCAATCGGGTTAAGGGTGTCCAACTGTCCCAGTTTTCTCGGTACTGAGGGATTTCCCAGGGACTTGGGACTCTCAGGGGTGAAACCAGGAAAATCTCAAACCACCATGCATTGGTCACATAGTAAATAAGGATAATAATTTACTGTGTGTTAGGCACTGTTCTAAGCACTTTACCCTCATTTACTTCTAAACGGACTCAATGAGAGAAGTACTATATTTGTTTCTGTTTTCAAAATGAGGAAATTGAGGATCAGATAAGGCAGTTTCAAAAAAGGATGCTTATTCACAAGTCAATGATCTATAAATACATTTATACAGGACTGGAATAAGTGCCAGAAACACTACAGCCAAATGAACCAAAGACAACACTCAAAGCATAAGGAAGGAGAATCATCTTAGACAACCATGACATATACTTATTGTGCTTTTAATTTCTCTGCTGTTAAATGGGTAAAATACTTCACTAAACCATGCCATGGATTAAATGAGATAATGGATGTGAAATGCTTTGTAAATTGTTGATGATTAAGGTATCATCATCATCCATAGTATTATATAAGGATATTATTTTGAGTATTTGTGTTTTTACTGCCAGTGCAGTTTTGAATAAGAAAGAGCAGCCACATTTCATACTTAACAACACTAAGAAAACCTTTTTTTTCTGCCTAAGTACAAAAGTAATACAGGGCCTCACAATGTAAAATAAATAAACAATCCAGAAGTAAGTAGGGTGAAAAGTAAAAGTTCTCCTTTACCTTCTGCCACAAATTCTATTCCTCTGATTTTTAAATGTCTCTGGGTAATTAAAAATAAAACCACTACAACTCAATGGGATGTCTCATGTCCCCTTCCTCCACCTTAGAGAATGCCATTCCTTCTCATGGGATGAGATGCGCACCACTAAACCCTTAGCAGAAGCAGACACGCCTCTAGCGCCTGGCCCTGCTTCATTAAAAGAATTGTCCAACGCCACTGCTTCCTGGCCATTGAGGATATTCACAGTCATTTAAACCGTAGTTCCTGCCATTAGTGTT